GGACAGATGTGACCTCCTCAGTCAAAGTCAGTGTTTTCTTTGCCCTCAAATTTTCAGAAAAATACAAATGTAAATGAAAAATAATGACAAGACCCACAAAGGGCCCCAGAGTCATTGTCTCAACAATTATTTAATGCCTGTTAGGTTTCCAGCACCCTGCTAGATGCTGACAATGACATAAAAATCATCAGACGTAACTCTCATTCTCTACAATGTTAATAATGGTAAAGTAGTAAAAATTATATAGTTTTAAAATCAGAGTTGAAAGTTTCATTTTCCACAAATATTCTGCTTTTCAAATTAAAAACTAACAGGTAAACATGAGTATGCCTTCCGTATAGTCTTCCCTTTGTGTAGAATGCCCTTTTCTTAATCTGTCTACAGAAACTCCAGATCTAATTCAAGGTCCAGCTTGTCACCTCAGTGACATGAAGCCTCAACAGCCATGCCTGCACAGCACTGCCCATCACTTTTTCTGTGTCCATCCATGTGTTTGCAACCCAAGATATTATTGTAGGTATCCAAGTTATGTGTCTGAATTCCCATACTCAGTGACCTCCTTTGGTTCAAGCTCTTCTAGACCCTGGCTGTTCTTTAGAAAATCTCTGGGTATGTTTTAAAAAAATGTACAGAAGTTTAAGTTCCAAATAAGACCCACTGACTCAGGATTTCCAGGATGTAGGCCTGCACATCTTTATTTAATTTTACTCTCTACAAGTGATGTTGAGTTACAATCAGGGGTAACGCACAGTATTATACAATCAATGACTGAAAATGAGAGAATTTTGGCTTGTCATCTGGACTTACTGTTCTCTCCTGCCTCATATCCTCTATGTTTGTTTGTTTTTTTAACTCACTCCTCACTTAGTACCCTCCAGCAACAATGGTCATCTTAATTTCCTCCCACACACTAAGTACTTTCTTCATAGTAGCCACTCATGCTCTTGCTTCGTCTAGAATGCACTTCTTCTTACAATTCATTTGGCTGTCATCTACTGTTCAGGTCTCAGCCTGGATGCTGTTTCTTCAGAGAGCCTTTCCATCAACTTCCGCCAATCTAAATCAGCCTCTCTTCTTTCATCACTTGCCACTATTTGCAGTACATTCTTGGTGTGTATCGGTGGAATGCCTGTCTTCCCAACAAAAGGGAAAGAGCTCCATGAACCCAAAGGCCATACAGACACAGCTCACCAATGCTCAGCTTACAGCCTGTATTGAAAAATTATTTACTCTTTTAAAGTTTATTTATTTATTTTTGAGAGAGAGAAAGAAGGAGGAGCAGAGAGAAAAGGAGAGAGAATCCCGAGCAGGCTCTAGGATGTCAGCTCAGAGCCTGACCTGGGGCTCCATCTCATGAACCATAAGATCATGATCTGAACTGAGATCAAGAGTCAGATGCTTAACTGACTGAGCCACCCAGATGCCCTGAAAAATTATTTTTGAATGAAAGAACAAATGACATTGGTTAAATTACTTAACCTCTGAGAGCCTATGTCCTTATCTATATAATGATAGTATTAATTCCAACTTTCCAAAGTTGTCATTCAAATGAAATGAGGTGACACATCTAAACAGTCTTGTGCAATACCTGGGCAATAGTTGGTATTCCATAAAATTTAAGACCTGGGAATTCTTAATTCTTTGACTAACTTATTTTCCTTATGACCTGTAATAAGAACTTGCATGCTCTGTGCCTCCTTATTAGGTCACACCATGTAAAAACACTCAAATAGCAGCAATTTCATTATTTTTCATTTGTCTGGAGCTTTTACAGAGAAGGAAAATACGATACAATAGTTTCAGACATGGTAAAACATAATTCGTAAATGAGAAGGAAAGAGGACATTTCTACCCCATTTAGTGAATAGTGATGCTGATAGGGAGCAAAAAGATACTGCTCTAAATCATATTATAAATTAGTGAGAGAGTCAAGTTCTAGTAGGATGTTAAGCTTCTGGAATCTCTTCTAACTTCACTTAGCTCTTCCTGTTTTGCTATTTTCTCCTATTTTGGGAGAATTTTCTGACTTTACCTTGGCACTGATTTCTTTTTTTTTTTTTTTTTTAATTTTTGAATTTTAATTAATTTATTTTTTTTTTTACAAATAGTTTATTGTCAAATTAGTTTCCACATAACACCCAGTGCTCATCCCCACAAGTGCCCTCCTCCATGCCCATCCCCCCCTCCCCCCCACATCCATCAGTCCTCAGTTTTTGTCAGCATTCAAGAGTCTCTCATGGTTTGTCTCTCTCCCTTTCCCCCACCATTTCCCCCCTTCTTCTCCCGATTGGTCCTCTGTTAAGTTCCTCCTAGTCCTCCTATACGTGCACACATATGATATTTGTCCTTCTCTGCCTGACTTATTTCGCTCAGCATAACACCCTCAAGGTCCATCCATGTAGCTACACATGGCCAGATTTCATTGTTTCTCATTGCCATGTAGTATTCCATGGTATAGATAAACCACATCTTCTTGATCCATTCATCTGTTGATGGACACTTAGGCTCTTTCCATGTTTTAGCTATTGTGGAGAGTGCTGCTATGAACATTGGGGTACATGTGCTCCTATGCCTCAGCATTTCTGTATCCCTTGGGTAAATTCCTAGCAGTGCTATTGCTGGGTCATAGGGGAGTTCTATTGTTAGTTTCCTGAGGAACCTCCACACTGTTTTCCAGAGGGGCTGTACCAGTTTACATTCCCACCAACAGTGTAGGAGGGTGCCCGTTTCTCCACATCCTCGCCAGCATCTAGAGTTCTCTGATTTGCTCATTTTAGCCACTCTGACTGGCGTGAGGTGGTATCTCAGTGTGGTTTTGATTTGTATTTCCCTGATGAGGAGGGATGCTGAGCATCGTTTCATGTGTCTGTTGGCCATCTGGATGTCCTCTTTGGAGAAGTGTCTGTTCATGTCTTCTGCCCATTTCTTCACTGGGTTGTTTGTTTTTCGGGCGTGTAGTTTGGTGAGTTCCTTATAGATTCTGGATATTAACCCTTTATCTGATATGTCATTTGCAACTATCTTTTCCCATTCCGTTGGTTGCCTATTAATTTTCTGGGTTGTTTCCTTGGCTGTGCAGAAGCTTTTAATCTTGATGAGGTCCCAACAGTTTATTTTTGCTCTTGATTCCCTTGCTTTTGGGGATGTGTCAAGTAAGAAGTTGCTGCGGTGGAGGTCAAGGAGGTTGTTTCCTGCTTTCTCCTCTAGGGTGTTGATAGTTTCCTGTCTCACGTTCAGGTCCTTTATCCATTTTGAGTTGATTTTTGTGCATGGTGTGAGAAAATGATCTAGTTTCATTCTTCTGCATGTTGCTGTCCAGTTCTCCCAACACCATCTGTTAAAAAGGCTGTCTTTTTTCCATTGGATATTCTTTCCTGCTTTGTCAAAGATCAGTTGGCTGTATACTTTTGGGTCCACTTCTGAGTTCTCAATTCTGTTCCATTGGTCTATGTGTCTGTTTTTGTGCCAATACCATACTGTCTTGAGGATGACAGCTTTGTAGTAGAGGCTGAAGTCTGGGATGGTGATACCTCCCGTTTTGGTTTTATTTTTCAGTATTACTTTGGCTATTCGGGGTCTTTTGTGGTTCCATACAAATTTTTGGATAGTTTGTTCTAGTTTTGAGAAGTATGCTGGTGCAATTTTGATTGGAATTGCATTGAATGTGTAGAGTGCTTTAGGTAGTAATGACATCTTAACTATATTTATTCTTCCTATCCATGAGCATGGAATGTTTTTCCATTTCTTTGTGTCTTCTTCAATTTCCTTCATAAGTTTTCTATAGTTTTCATCATACAGATCTCTTGTATCCTTGGTTAGGTTTATTCCGAGGTATTTTATGGTTTTTTGTGCAATTGTGAATGGGATCAGTTTCTTGATTTCTCTTTCTGTTGCTTCATTATTGGTGTATAAAAATGCAACCGATTTCTGTACGTTGATTTTGTACCCTGCAACTTGGCTGAATTCTTGGATCAGTTCTAGTAGGCTTCTGGTGGAGTCTGTCGGGTTTTCTATGTAGAGTATCATGTCATCTGCGAAGAGTGAAAGTTTGACTTCCTCTTTGCCAATTCTGATGCCTTTGATTTCCTTTTGTTGTCTGATGGCTGATGCTAGGACTTCCAGCACTATGTTAAACAACAGTGGTGAGAGTGGACATCCCTGTCGTGTTCCTGATCTCAGGGGGAAAGCTCTCAGTTTTTCCCCGTTGAGGATGATGTTAGCTGAAGGCTTCTCATAGATGGCTTTGATGATGTTTAAGTAGGTTCCTTCTATCCCAACTTTCTCGAGAGTCTTTATTAAGAAGGGATGCTGTATTTTGTCAAATGCTTTTTCTGCATCTATTGACAGGATCATATGGTTTTTATCTTTTCTTTTATTGATATGATGGATCACATTGATTGATTTGCGAATGTTGAACCAGCCCTGTAACCCAGGAATGAATCCCACTTGATCTTGGTGGATGATTCTTTTGATATGCTGCTGGATTCGATTTGCAAGGATCTTGTTGAGAATTTTTGCATCCGTATTCATCAAGGATATTGGCCTATAGTTCTCTTTTTTTGCTGGATCTCTGTCTGGCTTGGGAATCAGAGTGATGCCGGCTTCATAAAATGAGTCCGGGAGACCTTGGCACTGATTTCTAATATGACTTTCCTGATTTCAATTTTACCCACTCATCCTCAGGATGCATTACTGAAGGGAGATGAACTTTTTATTGCCTATGGTTACAAACAGCTGTTATTTCAGCCCCAGTCAGGAATAGTCTATACACACATTCCTGTAATTGAACACAGCTACTGATGAGTTGATAATCCAATTGATTAATGAATCTACATGCATCTTCATTCATGGTGGATGGAGCTGAATAAAGAGGGATAAGATGTGCACTGTACTGTGTCATGAATTTCTCAAACTTCTTCCTTTGATTCTTTATTTCTTATATTCTAGAAACTGCAGAGCAGTGTATAGTGGGCCGTCAAACTCTGGAAGTTGACACTGAGCTAGTCCCGGGGGTCTTCACAGAAAAAGCAGCCAGGATCCTGGTCAGCTGGAGATTCCATCTGAATGGTGAGTGAATGCACAGTAAAGCTATTGTTGAGGACTTTAACAATCTCTCTTCGAACAACCTGGCCGTCCCGGCTGGCTGCTGCTGAGAAAGAAGCACAGTGAGATGGGCACTGATTGCACACACATAGGTGACAGCTGAATTTCCATTCTCAAGTACTTTGTCTTTAACCTGATGGGGAGGGCCACAGGTGGAGCACTCAGGAGAAGCCACTTTGGCTCTGACAATCAGCTGTATCCACACATAGAAGACAGGGAGAAATTCTAGTGCAGCAAAGTACCCATCACTATGGAAACACTTCCTGCCCACATTTCTCTCTTTGGTCTGACACTCCTAGAAGATCATCATGGAAGGGGAGAGAAGGCCTGAAGAGAGCCAAGACAAAGCTCTATTTTTTTTATACAGCCCTTCCTACCCGCCCCCCCCTCCCCGCCCCCAGTCCCCAGAGATCTCTGCATTGCAGCCTTTGTTTCTAATCAGCATTTATATCAAGACTAGTGATAGGAACCGGGAAGCATTTAGAGCTCCCCACAGACTCTTCTTTGGGCAGCAACCTGACTGCCATCTTCTCTCCTGTCCCAAAAGGTATCAGGAGGCTGTAAGATTCCCTCCAAAGTAAACTGATCGTTTACTAGATTCTTCCATCTGCAGTGAAATATTGATGTAGTAGGTGCTATAAATAACCTGTAGCCAGATTTGAGCCTCTCCGCAAAGATGAGGACATCTGAGAAAGCATAGTCCTCAATGCCTGTCGCTGGTGCTCCCGTACCCTGCCTCTAGGTAACTTCTTGAATTATTTCTTAGCAGCCTAACATATCATTTCTAACCATCCAGTGAGCAAATCACAATTAATTCCTATTGGCACATCTTTTAACTTGTTAGCATCTTAAGGATGGGACCTAGGTCTCCTTTATTTTTTTTTTTATCTTCAGTGAGAGGCAGAGCATCTTAGACATAGGAAATAATTCAATGAAGTTTATTGTTGAGCTCATCCCATTATTTAATTCATCGGGCACCAAGTCAAACAGGTGAGCTCTAATTTTCAGAGTTGAAGACCTTGAACTTCGGGTGCCATTTTAGCTGTTTGTTCTACTCACTACCCTCTGCAGTCTGCCTCAAGGGATGTCCTCAGTATCACTGTTCTGTGTCTATGATAACATTGACAAGGGCTTTTTTCAAAGACCCTTGGTAACAGGAAACACTGTAAGGTTGTTTTGACAGGCAACAGACATGAAGGGCAGCTGTACAAAAGGGAGGGAAATTACTAAGTTTATAGGGCAAGAACTGAATTTTGGCAGGGTGTTTACAAAACTCACTGACCTGCAGCAACATGAGCCGAGAGAATCACTTGGTTCATTGCTAGAGACCAGATGTGCAAGCTGTGCACAGACACCACTCCATCCACTGCTAAGATGAGCTCTTTCACATCGTTGTAATTCATGTTCTTTGGCACACCTGACAAGTGGAAAGTGAGGGAGGCTGTTTGTTCTGTAACTAAATACAGCTCATTAACATGGCTAAATGGGGCTGCAAAATCTTCGCCAGAATATCAACTTGCCTTCCCCTTTTCTGGTTTCTTACTTTAGATGTTTACAAATTAAATTCACCTGACTCTTTCAAAGGGCTTCAAAGAAGTCACCATGCAATAACCAACAATAGGAATCGTTCTTGGTTTTCAGGGTGTGTCATTAAACCAACTGAGCTTTTTCCACTTATCTTTGCATACAGTATAAAAAAGCAAAATGAGGGAACGTGGGATTTGGAATCAAATAATTCTGGGTTAGCATTCTGATCACAACTACCATGAATTTACCCTTAGAACTTCTCTGATCCTCAGCACATCTGTAGTAGAATAAGGGTGATAAGAGCAATATGTGCACTAAGTCCTTTGAGGAGCAAATGGGAAAATATCTGTTCTTTGTACACAGCAATGCTATGTAAATAGTAGTTATCCAACAGGTCACTAACTAAACTGGGTTAATAGATGATCCTAACATTGTAAGATCGCCTGTTTCTAGAATTCTTATTTATTTTGGTACATGACTCAGGGTTTAATGTCTGGGTTATATAATGTCAGAGTTTGACACAATTCTTGCTTCTAAAGGAATGGTATGGGGCACAAAGGGAGGGAGGGACCCTGACAGCCAATCAGCTATTCTTTTGGACTAAAGGAGCTGGGCTTTATCTAGCTTGAAGAAGTGAAGGCTAAGGGCAGAAGCATCTCTTTTTTCAAATACTACAAGGATTATCATTTGGAAGATGAGAGGATATGAAAGAAAGGACCTTGAGTCCTTGCTTTGGCTAGAGAGAAAGCAAGCTAATGGGCAGTTAGAATTGTAAAACATATCAGTTTAACATAAGCTTTTTTTTTAATCAACTCAATAGCATAACAACGATAAAGCTATTTTTTAATCAACGCAACCAACATAAAAATGATAAAACTATTTGATGCAATAATTAAATCCCTGCCAACTAACCCAAAGAGGATGAAAAGATTATTAAGGTTGACCACCTTTTGGCTTCTGCTTCAATCATATAGACATAACACAAATACCTGGTGTGTTGGTTAAAAATAAATATGCCTTAGATTCATTCCAGTCCCCCTAAAGAAAATGTCTATGGATGAGGCTCTAAAATCAACACGCTTCAATATGGTTGCTATGGTTCTCCAACTTGAATGCATATTAGTATCATCAGAGGAGATTTTAGAAATCCTGATCACCAGGTTACACCCAAGACCAATTAAATCAGACCCTCTGGGGGTAAAATAAAGCATCAGTATTTTTATAGCTCATTTGGTGATTCTAACATACATCCAAGGTTAAGAACAATGGCACTAACATTTATGAGCCACTGGGCAACTTTACCTTGCAGTAGTTCTCAAGCTTGGCTGCTTGTTAAAAACACAGAAAGCCAGCTCCTACCCCATCAATTATATTGGAATCTCTGGGTATGGGGGCCCTAGGCACAAGTATTTTTTTAAAAGCTTTCCAAATGATTGTAATGAGCAGCTAGTCAAGAATAAATTTTTTTAATGTTTATTTATTTTTAAGAGACAGAGACAAAGAGAGACAGAGTACAAGCAGGTTGGGGTGGGGGGGGGGGGTGGGCAGAGAGAGAGGAGACACAGAATCCGAAGCAGGCTCCAGGCTCTAAGCTGTCAGTCAGTACAGAGCCTGAAGCGGGGCTGGAATTCATGAGCCATGAGATCATTACCTGAGCTGAAGTTGGACGCTTAACCTACTGAGCCACCCAAGCACCCCAAGAATAACTTTAAAGGAATAAAGGAATAGGGAATCCTTAACCCTCCTTTTTCAGGATTTAAGAACCTTGCTCATAGAAACTTTCTCCTTGAGGCTAATATAAAAATTCCATAAAGTTTGAGTTTCATTTAATCCCACTTCATATTGTTTCATGGAGGCAACAAAGAGCTAGTCAACATGTTCTTTTACTCTGTGAGCTCAGGGCACTAGAAACAAAAGAATTCTCAAATTAGCCATAAAATGGAGTCATAGGTGACATTGTTACATTGTAACATTGTTATATTGTAATGATGATAACACACCTTTATTAAGAAACTACCGTATGTCAAGGTTTGTGCTAAGTACTATATTCATAGTGATTATCTAAGTTCTAAGAACTTTAAGAGCTAATCATCAATGTTATAATTCCTATTTAATTGGGGGAGAGGAAATTGGGAATCAAAGAGGTTAAGAAGCATTGCTTAGGCTACATTGATAAGGGAGATGTCAGACTCTAAAGTCCAAGTGCTAAGTGTGAAACGTTATGCAAATAGTAGACTCTAAGTATTGCAACTGAAAGCTGACTAATAGGCCTAATGTGTCACCCCTGAGGAGTTTTGTTTGACCCTTTAAAGACCTATTGTCATTTGTCTAGGACCCTTGAGATGAAATCACTATTCCACTACCCCCTTCTCTCTTGCCTCTATTATCTCGTTACTTTTAAGGAGAACACAAGTCCACTGTTACTCTTTTTTACTCTGTAAAATAATATCAACAAGCAAGAAGATATGTTCCCAATGGCTTCACTGCTCCATCACATACTAGAAACTTCTTTTCCTGAGGGAAAGCCTGCAACAATATCAGTGCATCCAGGAAAATTCCAAAGTAGTGTTTAAAAATAATTACCCAAGTTAATAAATATATAAAAAATCACTCAATTTCTCTCATAATGAAGGAACTGCATACGGGGTCAATAAGATATAATATTTCACCTCTCACATTAGAAAAGAATCAACATTTTAATAATACTCAGTGATGGTAAGGATGTGAAGAAATGGGCGTTCTCAAACACTGTTGGTGGGAAAGAAATTGATATGACATCTTTGGTAGAAATGGCAACAAAATAAATCTTTATATATAATAAATAAATCTTTATATATAATATATATTATATATTATATATATAACACAGAATGGTGTGTGTGTGTGTGTGTGTGTGTGCGTGCACACACACACGGAGAATGGTAATTACACCATAATTTGTGATATCATCAATAAGCAAGTACATGCCTACAGTGGAATATTTCTACCATGAAAAAGAATAGGTGTATCTCTATATACGCTATATGGAAAGACCTCCAAGTAAAGAAAGCAAAGTGCAAAACAAAATACGTATCAATGCAAAATTTTGTTTGTATAAAAAAAGACATATATATATATGTATATATATATGTACACACACACACACGTCAATGTACAGATATTTGGGGACAACTTATCAGTAGGTGTTATCCCTGACGAATGGGACTGAAAATTCAAATGTAAAAAACTGGAGAGACTTTTTATAATTTCATACCTTTCTATAGTTTATAAAACTTTATCAAGTACAAATATTTTATGCTAACCTAATTTGAAAACCTAGTTTAAAAATTAAGCATCTTCCAGGTAGGAGTTACCTGCCAGCTTCAATAATTAGCTACATTTTCCTTAAATAAAAAGAGATAATCACCTGAGAAGAGCAATACTGAGAGACAGAGAGGATGAAATATACTCATCTCTAATGTACACCCATTTGCCTTTCATCCACCTGTACATCAGCAAAGTTCGGTAATAGGAACAACAGCTACAGCTTGGCACTAGGCCATCAGGAAAGGAAATGGATGCGTATGTGACTTGACAAACCAAATATTGTCACCTTCAGAGAGAGGATGTTCACTTGTTAGTGACGTTTGACTCCATCTTGTGATTCATCATTGTCAGCAGCAGCATCCTCCAACAATTATGGTGCCCAAAGGAACAAAGCCCTTAAATGTGTGCTCAGCAGTGAATGCTAAGGAAATGTGGGCTTTTGTGAAGGCATTTGCACTCTGAGAGTCTGTCTGCCTGATGTCAAATGTGCTGTACAAAAAAGAAAAGTTCAAGCCAATGTCTGGATATTCTTGATCATCCAAATGCTTGGTATGATGCAAACCTCTAATTCTGATGGACTTTTCTAGGTTCTGTTTTCAGGGCCTTCGTGTAGTAACCCTTAAGTAGTATGAAAAGGTCATTCTAATGCTTCTCAAAGTGTGGTCCTTGGACCAGCAACATCAGCATCTTGTTAGAAATTCAAATTCTCGGGGCGCCTGGGTAGCTCAGTTCTTTAAGCATCTGACTTCAGCTCAGGTCATGATCTCACTCTTCGTGGCTTTGAGCCTCACATAGGGCTCTGTGCTGATGGTGAGCTCAGAGCCTGGAACCTGTTTCAGATTCTGTATCTCCCTCTCTCTGACCCTCCCCTGCTCATGCTGTCTCTCTCCCTCTCTCAAAAATAATAAAACATTTTTAAAAGTCTAAAAAAAAAAGAAAGAAAGGAAAGAAATTCAAATTCTCAGATGCTGTCCCAGACCTACTGGTTCAGGAACTATCGGGGTGGGCCCAGCAATCTGTGTTTTAACAGACCGCACGTGATTCTGATGCACTGAAGTTTGAGTGCTGGCCTGGTCTAACAAGGGTTTTAGGCAAGCCCTTCATAGTAGTTATAATGCTGCCTAAGAGATAGCTTATTCAATTTTTCTTAGGCCTTTTCCATATATATAGGGAGAAATATATATTTTTGCAATATCTCCCCCAGTGCCTATCCTTAGTATTTGTACATATTGTTTTTGTCATATACCATATCATTTAATAGTTTCTGGAGGAAAAAAGAGAAGGCAATTCTTTTTATTTGTTCCCATATGAATAAAAATCATAATATTTGTTTTCACAAAAATTCCTTATAAATTTATATTTGCCTCATAATACAAATTAACAGTAGGTTTACCTTGATGCCATTCCCTTCTGTGATTATAGAGAAGAGAAAACACTGATCCTGGAAATAATAATAAAATCACTCCTACCTTCCATGAGTAAGGTGAAGAAGTCCTTTAAGACACTGATGGTGCTGGCCAAAACCAGGATGGAAAAGACAAATGTGCAGATTGGGTCAGCCATTTTATAGTCTGGCTAGAAAATATAGGGACTTCAGTTAACCAAATTCAGGCCTTCCATGCAGAAAGTCTGATTAATAAAATGAGTAAACCTCCCTGCTTCTTTTTCTATCACCCTTTCACCTCCCTGAAACTTAACATCCAACTCAGAGGCAAGACTTCCTCAAGACTTAATCCTTCTTTTAAGCTTTAAACTATCAGTGGCTAAAGAAATTTAAAAGTTAAATTCAAATTAAAGGAGAGTGTCCTTGAGTGTTCTTTCCAAAGGCCTGATTTGACTTTTCTCTTAATAGAAGCACATACTCTTAATAGAGTATGTGATGAAAATATGCACGAGTTTATATAACAGTCAATGGATTTTCAGCCTTCCTTATAAGATGAGAAGAAAGGATATCACCTGCCTAGAAGCTGCATATGACCAAGATCCAGGTAGAGCTTGGTCTTGGCAGACTGGGGTTGTTTCCTTTCCCTCCTCAGGATGACACATATTCGAGACAGGCATCTTTGATTAAGCCCTAAGAGTATGAGCTGAGGCCTCATTCTTGCCCTGTCTCATCATTGGAGCTATTAGCTCCAGAAGACATACCTGTCTATTCTTCTGCCCTGGATGAAGTTTTGTGTCACAGGAAAGTCCATGCATTGTTTCCTCTGAGAAACTCAAATTCTACTACCCAGCACAAGTTTGAATGATTCTGTCTTAAACTTAAGCTTTCAGTGAATATTTGCTCAATTAAATTCAGATATGTCTTTATAATTTTTATGTATGTGTTTTCATTTTTTAGTATAAATAACAAAGACTCCCTGATAACTGGACAGTCAAGATGCAAACAACAGAGCTAAATGCTCTTCTTTTCCATTACCCCTACCTGTAACCCAACCGACTTTTGTTAGTTCTTGGTACAAAAAATACAGTTCTATACTAAATGTCTGTTTAGGGTCAGAGGTTCATCCAGGATCCATCCCAACTTTCCATTAACACTCTGTTTGGGAGAGGGAGGTGGGGGGAGAATTATCTTTCCCCATTGGGGGTGATATTGGTGGGACAATCAATCAGGTGCTCTCCCTCTCCAGCCAAGCAGCAGGTACAAGACCCAAGCTAGGTCTGGTGGACTCTCTTTCCCAGAAATATGAATCTCCAGCATAATGGCAAGAAATGGAAAAAATTGGTTGACTCACTCATTTCTGCACTGGTAGCTAGGACCGAATTTGGATAGTTTCTGAAACCTAGGATACCTAATGCTGCCCTTATTTCTACCTTGATTTCCATCCAAGAGTATATCCAATAAATTTCAGCTAATAAATATATTTTTGCTTAAGTAAACTAGACATCCTTTCCGTTGCTTATAATCCAAGAATCCTAAGGTACTCATGGTTGATTGCTGTTCATCTTAACTCTATGACAAAAGGAACTACTTTCTGGAAAGACTGACAGCCCTACAATTGGATACATAGTACTTGGGAATTTGGAAAGTCTAAGGTTTTGAGCTTTGAATGTTTGTTTGTTTGTTTGGTTGGTTGGTTGGTTGGTTGATTGTTGAAACCTTGTGAAGTAGATGGTATAGACAAATATAGGCTGGCCACCTTTGTTTAAGTTAATAGCGGCAAATCAGCTTCTGTACTACCTAATCTATAAACTTACTATGGCAGTGGGTAAACTCAAACATACTCACCTTAAAGTAGATAATAAGTGCACTGGTTAATACACTGATGCTCTGAAATAGATCTCCCAGGGCATGTACAAAAGCTGCTCTGACACTGGCATTGGCTTGCAGTTCCTTGTGATTGTGTCCAGCATGTCTCTGGTGCAGAATCACACTTAGTCTGAAAGAGAGAAGGATGTTCTTAGCACCCATGAGTTTAGGCACTGAAAACCTATGCAGCATAATAAAGCAGTTGACAAGGGCATGTATTATCCAAGATGGCAGATAGTTGAAATATTGATGCTGTAAAATGTACTATTTTGGACTAGTTTTGAAAACAAATGCATCATACAAGTTTTAAATTTTTACATAAGGACATACAACAAAGGTTCACCTGTTTTCTCTTCCATATACATAATGCTACTCTGGTTCATATTAAAACTGGAAAACATCACTTCCTAGATGAAAGTATTTGACAATGAGGAGGCAAAATATCATTTATTGAGCATCTACTAAATGTCAGGCACTGAGCTAGGCTTAAAGCTGAGCTTTGGTGGGAGCTTAATTAAATATACTGGTTTCAAATGTAAAGCAGCAGAAAGGGGTAAAACAAAATAAGAAAATTTCATCAAGTTTGGATTTTAAAAAATATTTTATTTTACTTAATTTTATTTCTATGAGAATTTAAATTTTGAATAATTTTAATGGCCAATAATGTACTTGTGTATATTAGCTATTAACAAGAGACTAAAATATATTAATATATGTATGTATGTACATATATATGTAATGTATATGTATATGCAAATATATATAAAAACATATATATTTATATAGCCCTAAGAATATGAGCTGTGGTCTAATTCTCTCTATATTATAACATATTGCAAAATTTAACATCTATCCAAGTCAAAGAGAGAATATTAGGCACTATAAATTATGTACCTGATTTTATTTTGGAACAAAAGTTTTAAAAAATTATTGTTTAGTACCACACATCTCAGTCTGTTTGCTGGTAAAGTGTCTGTTAAATCTAAGGTTATAATACACAAAGTGGAATGACTGCTATCCAGCAAGATTTGATAATAATATAATGTAAGGTTTTCAGATAGTCAATGTTTGGGCAGAAAGTCACCCTTAATTAATAATTACCATTTAAGAATCTTCAGACAGCTTAATATGGCTAGCAGTTAACATACTCTCTTTCCAGATCTATACATGTGTGCTCATCATGTTGTCATTCATTCTTTCACTCATTTTATTAAAAAAACAAACAAACAAACTTAGGGACTCTTGTATGCCAGCCACTGTTAAATACTTGTGTTATAAAGGTGAATGAAACAGACATGGTCCCCCTCCAGTGTAGCTTTAAGTATGATGGAGATGGTAGAGATTTTAAAAAGACACCCATAAATGGAAAATACTCATTTTAATAAGCCTACTAAGAACAGGTACAATAGATAATACAACAAGATGTCCGATTTAGTTAAACAAAGTAATTGAGTTGAATTTGAAAGGTTATGTTAGACTTAAATTATAAGCTGGAGGGGAGAGAATATTTCAGGCAGAGAAAACAGCATCCAATAGCCTTAAGGCTCTGTCAATAATCTTCATTCTAGAATCCCTTTGCAACTTCTGTTAGAACTTTCTGTCCTGATTTGGAGTCTACAAGGAATTGATTTATTCCCAAATGATGGTTCTGATATTTCTGTATTCAGACAACACAGCATCTAGCAGCGCTTGAAACCTATAATCCCAGTTCTGGGAGAGAACATTATAGTCACTCAGTATATTTATCTACAAATAACTACCTATTTGCCCATGGAAGTCACCACTTTTCAATTCCCTTGTCTTTCTAAGTAGGAAAAGCATTTGCAATGTTAAGATCAAAGTTCAAAAGCAGCTGTTGTAAGAAGAAAATTTGGATGCATCTATTTAGAAAGTTAAACTCAATTATCAAGGTTCTAGATATATGGGGAAGTTAGCTAGCTGTATCCTTCATATTCATGTAGCATCGGCACAACCTATGTGACTATGAGTCTTGGGAAATTATTAATATTTTCATTTTCCCTGCTGTCTTGTGGACATATTGTTCTCCTTATGCAAAGATGATGTTATTGACCCCAGTCAGCAGCACATGTGCTCTGCCGTATTTGTCTCCTTATCCTGATAGATTTGCATTGATCTCCACACACTTTTTCTCCCAGTGTCAATATGAAACACATTTTCAAGTTAACTGGATAGAAATAGGGATCTACTCAGAAATAGCCATCAAATACCACTCCTCTAATTGTTTAACTCAGAGATTTCGAGCAACAGTTTGCACGCTAAGAGGTGAGGGACTGAGGCAGGCACAAGGTATGGATATTAGAGTGCCCCAAGGAGCTTTTTCAAGATATACATGTTCGGATTTTCCTTTAATACCAGAGATTCCACTCTGCTTTCCTTAAAAGACACTGTTTAAAATATGATTCTTCCTCACTTTCAGGTATAAGCCTACCTCATCGCATGTATCGTGTTACATTGCAAGATAGATAGATGATACACAGTGTGTATGAGTCTCTTTTTGCTGCTATAACAAATTATTACAAAGCTTCTGTGGCTTAGAACAAGACCTTCTGGAGGTAAGAGGTCTAAACTGGGTGTGCAGGACTACATTCCTTCTGGAGATTCTAGGGAAGAATTCATTATCTTACCTTTTCCAGCTTCTAGAGATCACTTTCTTTCCTTAGCTCCAGTATCCTTTCTCTGCTCTCAAAGCCATCAATACAGCATCTTCCCTTCACTCTTACCTCAAGTGTCCCTCTCACAGAATCTTCCTGGTTACATTGGTCCTGTCTGGATAACCCAGGATAATCTCCCCATCTCAAGATCCATTCTGAACTTAATCACATGTCCAAAGTTCCTTTTACCGTGTAAGTTAACATAGTCAGAAGTTCCAATGAATAGAATATGGAAATCTTCGGGCCATTATTCTGTTCACTACAGATGATTGATAGGTAGGTAGGTCAGTAGATCGGTGATACAGTTTTAAGTAGGGTTGTCCAGAATCAAGCTATCAAGTTGAAAGGAGTAAACCAACCAAAAAAGACCAAACGCCTGGCTTTAACAGCTCCACCACCCCACCCCACCCACCTCACCCCACCTCACCTCACCTCTGTCATGAACAATCAAGTAGCTTGCTTGGGTAAGAGCAGACCAATATAGCAATGGTCACATGTCTAGTAAGACATTACATGTCTCATAAGGATGAATTAAGACTGCCTGGATAATGGGGCACCTGGGTGGCTCAGTCAGTTAAGTGACCGACTTCAGCTCAGGTCATGATCTCACTGCGTGAAAGTTCAAGCCCCACGTCAGGCTCTTTGCTGACAGCTCAGAGCCTGAAGACTGCTTAGGATTCTGTATCTCCCTCTCTCTCTGCCCCTCCTCTGCTTGTGCTCTGTCTCCCTTTGCCTCTCAAAAATAAATAAACGTTTAAAAATTTAAAAAAAAATGACTGCCTGGATAAGAAAAGGGACCAAGGGGTGGAAACTAAAGACAGAATTTAGCTAATACAGCTTAAAAAGGAGTTTTCATGCAGTCACAATGATACAAAGATAAGATAGACTGTTTTTGAGAGGAACAAATTCCCTGTCATTTGATCTGTTAAAATATATGACACTGATGACTATTTTATGAGGATGTTGCAAAAGAGAATTCAAAAGTAGGATGGGGACTGGAGTAAATAAAATGTAAGATCCCTTCCAACCCAGCACCTGAGAACCCCTACTGTGATCATGTAACAAAAAAACAAATAGAATGGGGTCCCTGGGTGGCTCAATTGGTTAAGTGTCTGACTTTGGCTCAAGTCATGATCTCACAGTTCATGGCTTTGACTCTCGGGTTGGGCTTTGTGCTGACAGCTCAGAGCCTGTGGCCTGCTTTGGATTCTGTGTCTCCTCTCTCTCTCTGCTCCTCCACCAATCACGTTCTGTTTCTCTCTCTCTCAAAAATAAATAAAACATTTTTAAAAATTAAAAAAAGAGGAGGAAGTCATTTCCCATATGGAACCATCAATATGTATGAGAGTGCAGACTGGCTATGAGCTCAATTCTGGGCCTCATGGATCTAGATTCAGATCCTGGCTCTGTACTACCTCATTGGCAATTTATTCAGTTCACCATCTTCACAAATGGAAAAATCAAGCAAAAACAAACATCAACAAAAACCCCACTGTCTGTGTCCACACAGGGTTAAAGCCAAGCTTTTATGGGCAGCATGTGGGGTGACTTACAGAATGTTGGCTGCCACTGCACAGCCTGAAACGATGATCATCACAGTCGCATGGATCTGGTAATCAGGGTAGAGCAGGCGCTCACATGCCAGATACACGAGCACACCAGTCACCACCCAGACGCACAGGATGGACAGCAGGGCACCGAGGATCTCTAGGGATTCAAGCACACAGACACCCATACACAGAGAATTTGTGAGTCACCTTAACCTCCTAGGAGTCATATGGCATTGATGTTCCTTGCCTCCCCCCAACTGGTCCCCCTGCAAAAAGAGGCTCTAAACTAACTAGTTCACTCTGTGATTCACAAAGCAAAAGTGTGGATGGGTTTTAGCACTAAGATGATTCACCTTAATGTTACATTCATAAGACACCAGCATCTGAGTTCATTATGCTCCATATTACTAAGTAATTTCTAGCAAATTTTTAAAGTATATTAATTGCTATCTGCCATTGCTGTTTTCCTCAGGGATTTTAATTTAAACAGGTGCTAAAATGATTGAAACTTATTAGGAAATCAAATAATGAGACACAAAGAGCAAAATGTATTTAGAAACTTAATTTCACCATAAAACATTTATAATTTGCCAGTACCGGTACCTTGTATGGAATAAAATAGTAACAAGGGAGGGCTTCAGATGGTACTTGATGGAGTTGAGTTTCATTTGCCAACCCAACGTATTATAAACACACAAGCAAGCTCAGAGTATATCAACACTCTAACTGCAATTTAAGAGTAACTATATGGAAAAGAAGTATCAGAGTGGAGACACGTGTATTAATATGTAAAGATAAGATAGTTTTTTCGGTGTGGAGTTTGGTGAGTTCCTCATAGACTTTGGATACTAGTCCTTTATCTGATATGTCATTTGCAACTATCTTTTCCCATTCTGTCAGTTGCCTATTAGTTTTATTGATTGTTTCCTTTGCTGTGCAGAAGCTTTTTATCTTGATGAGGTCCCAATAGTTCATTTTTGTTCTTGATTCCCTTGCCTTTTGGGATGTGTCAAGTAAGAAATTGCTGCAGCCAGTGAAGAAATGGGCAGAAGACATGAACAGACACTTCTCCAAAGAGGACACCCAGATGGTCAATAGACACATAAAATGATGCTCAGCGTTCCTCATCATCAGGGAAATACATATCAAAATCTCACTGAGATACCATCTCACACTGGTCAGAGTGGCTAAAATGAACAAATCAGGAGACTCTAGATGCTGGCGAGGATGTGGAGAAATGGGCACCCTCCTACACTGTTGGTGGGAATGTAACCTGGTGCAGCCCCTCTGGAAAACGGTGTGGAGGTTCCTTAAAAAACTAACAACAGAACTCCCCTATGACCCAGCAATAGCACTGCTACGAATTTACCCAAGAGATACAGGAGTGCTGATGCATAGGGGCACATGTACCCCAATGTTCTTAGCAGTACTTTCAACAAGAGCCAAATCATGGAAAGAGCCTAAATGTGAATCAACTGACAAATGGATCAAGAAGATGTGGTATACCTATACAATGGAACACTACATGGCAATGAGAAAGAATGAAATCTGGCCATTTGTAGCAATGTGGATGGAACTCAAGGGTGTTAGGCTGAGGGAAATAAGTCAAGCAGAGAAATACAGATCCCCTATGTTTTCACTTAAAAGTGGATCAGGAGAAACTTAACAGAGGACTAGGGGGGAGGAGAAGGGGAAAAAATAGTTGGGGAGAGAGAGGTAGGCAAACCTTGAGAGACTCTTGAATGCTGAGAACAAACTGAAGGATGATGGAGGTGGGAGAGAGGAAAAGGGGAGTGATGGGCATGGAGGAGGGCACTTGTAGGGATGAGCACTGGGTATTATATAGAAACCAACTTGGCAATGAACTATGAAAGAAAATAAAATAAAATAAAGAGAAGGTAGTGTTCTGCCTGCAGCCTGAGTAAAGCACATTTGCTCACTTAGGAGTTCCTTAACACTCTCCCTGATCTTTAACTCAACCTTGTAGGTAGGTACTAAAAGGCTTCAAGTGCCTAGAAGTATTCTAGAGTAAGTGGCCAGGGATCTTCCTTACCTTTGATCTTCTCCCTTTCAAAGCAGAACAATATAATGTATTGTTTCCTGGTATGGGGCTATTGTATCCCCAGCTTCAATCACTTACATGCAGCCTTCATGATTTTTACCACGTCCACATGCCATCTGTCTTATTAGCCACTTAATTTTTTTAATAAATTCACTTTTTATACTTAACTTTTTCCTAAACAAAGTCATCCGTGAAATTACATGTTTGACAAGCTAGTTCATTTTCACCTATATGTCTGATAGCAGTGCTGCCTAATATAGTAACCATCATCACTGTTGCTGTATGCCTTTAAATTAACATATTAAAACTCCAGTTCTTCAGGGTGGCTGGTAGCTCATTCAGTTAAGCATCTGACTCTTGGTTTCAGCACAGGTCATGATCTCACAGTCGTGAGGTTGAGCTAAGTGTTGGAGTCTCTGCACTGAACATGGACCCTGCTTAAAATTCTCTCTCCCCCATTCACCCCCTCCTCTACTCACATACAGGTATGCGTGTTCTATGAAATAAAATAAAATAAGATTAAATTAAATTAAAATAAATTAAATTAAATTAAAATAATCCAGTTGTTTAGTAACAATAGCCATATTAAATTGCTCTATGGACACATTATACTCTGTATTATAGAACATTTCTTTGAAAGCAGAGGGTGCTACTGAACAGCCCTGGTTTTCTGGAGTGTCAACCTTCATGAGCTTCCATCACCAAGATGAGAAAGTACAAGCAGTATTCTAAATTCTGAGTTATACCTATGTTTATAAAACATCCTATGTTTACAAAAGAGCTTTGACCAATAGTATCAGAAAGGGGAGAGTACATGTAAAAATTTATACAAATGACAGGTACTCAGCCAAAAATACATGTTTTCCAAGGGTAACAGTGTTCAGGGACTGAAAAGCATCTTCAGGCCACATTGTCACAAATTATTTTTATTGATGTTTATTGCCTCTCTCTCTCTCCCCATCTCCCTCCCTCTGAATGTTAAAGGAAAGGCAATTCAAAACACTTGCGATGATAAATTATTTCATGTGTAATGAGAACTTCCTCCCATTTTAAGCTTGAAAAACCACAACCCAAAATTGTCAGTGTCTAAGTTGTGGTCTGTATCTAGAGGTACCTTCCAATGCAGGCTGGCCATGTCAGCCTGTTGGCCCTCTTTGCTCTGCCCTAAATTCTCCTTCAAATTCTATTCTCTACTTACCTGTGAGAAGTTCTTCAATCTCTCTAGCTCCCTTGGGCTCTCTGTGCCTGACTTTACAAATGGTAGAAGCTTTATCCCATCCTCCCTCCCAGATGCAGAGGAACTTGATGAATGGTATCATGGCCCTTACTGTAAGCTGAGACCCTTGGGCTAGGGTGGCTGCTAAAGTGATACATGTGTTTTTATTGTTCAATTGGAATAGAGATAACACAGTTAATCTGGCTTTTTGCCAAATCATCCTTGAGAACACATGTTTTCACGTACACATCCTTTGTATCCTGAATACCATTTGTGCCTCTAAGGGATTTCTGGACAAGGCTTTGCTTTGTCGCTTCTGTTTTTATCCTTGATTTGACCATGCAGCACTACTTTGCCATTAATGCTCAATGGGTGAACTGTACCTGCCCGGTGCCATCCAAATGTCAGCTGCTTTGAGGGGGGCTTTGATGACAACCACAAGGAGAAGAGACTGAGCAGGAAACTTGTCAGGTCAATTAAGAGGTGGGCAGCATCTGTGACGACAGCAAGACTCCCAGCAATGTGCCCTCCTAGGGGATACAGAACATTACATGGGATTAAGAGCCCCGAAATGCAACTAGATTCACATGCATATTAACCATACTTGGTGAAACATGCCACAGACTCACAAAACTTTATCAGAGAAAGGGTCTTAACATTGATTTAATCTACCTCTTCTTCCCAATTTTACAAGAAACAGATACCCAGAGAGTGGATAGGATTTGAACAAATAGAAATGGATTTCAAGGTTGCAGCCATTCCTGGGAGATCAAAGGTACAGAGATTGGAAAGTGTGGGTCACATCACATTTACAGAACATCACAGTTGGACCAAGACATAAGAGTTCAGAAAACACAAAAGGATGAGGCTGGAGACATGTGGACTGGATTTGAAGAGTCTTACACTTAAGGCTGAATACTTGGACTTTTGTCTGTAACTCAGGAGTCACAGCCCACAGCTATGTTTGTATTTGACTTGTAATTTTACCACAGTTTTTATCACTTCCTTCTGCTCTACTAATTTATATTATCCACCTTAGTTCAAAATCCCCATTATGAATGGTAGGGAACAGTAAAGAAAAGGGCAGGCACCTTCCATTGGGGTCCTTGAGTATAACAACAATCATAGGAAAAGAACCCAAGCCAAGGTGGTGCCACTTTACTTTTCTGTCCATTGGTTTGCCTTCCCTACTGCCTCTGAGTTCTCCTTAGAGAAAAGACCTCCAGCCTCCAAAATACAAGTCAGAAGAAATTCTTGTCTCTGCCTTCCCAAGCAGGGCTCATTCTTTGAGAACAGTCTTTATTGCTCTCACTACATCTTCCTCCAGAAAGAGCTTTTGCTGACTGATTATCTCCCTGGCAGCTGTTTATTGCCAGTGTACAATGAGGCGATGGACCCTATCAGTCAGAAGCCTCTCAGTCATCAAACCCACCTCGTCTCAGCTAATGATTTTTAAAAATTACAGATATGGCTCATAATTGCAATAATCCCCACAGACCACTGGCTCTAGCTGTAGTTAATAGCTGGTTTGTCAAAGTTTAATGGTCTGAAACAAAGTAGTCTTCAAGTTTGTTACTGAGCTGTCAGTGCAAAAAATCAGAATGATTCATTAGTCAAAAAGCAACATTTTGCCAACAAATCAGCTTTTCTTCCAATTACCGTCTACTGTTGCTCTATCTGCCAAACTTGGGTCTGATAATAAAGCTGTGTTAATAATGGATTATATCTTACTCAGAGAATGACTACATACAGATAAATAGTCGGCCGCAATGAATGATGGTGAGGATTCCATGTGCTGGGCTCAAATCGTAGCCTAAGTCAAGGAAATGAAGTCCTCTAGGAATTCTTCAACAGGTCCAGCTGAATCAGGAGGCAACTGAGAGAGAAAAAGGACTTGCTTTGGAAGAAACATACTTCTATGGAGGCCTGGGAAGTGAGAACCATTTTGCAACTAACCTTTCTACTTATAAGAATAATCCAGAAAACTGAGCAATTGTACTAAATTGCCCATTTCTCTATGGAGAAAACTGTTTGCAAGAGGTAGTTTCTGACTAAACTTGTGTCTGTTCCTGAAAGTATGGGGTATTACCAACAATTAACACAGTCATCCAGCCAGTATTTATTGAGCTCTTGCTGTGCATAGTATAGGAATGGGGTAAACAAAGATAAACAAAGTTAAACAAATCACAGTCCCTCCCTTCAGTGATCTCATTGTTAACATTATCTATACTGTAGACATGTACAGTGGGCCAGAGGATCAGAAAACCACCCTCCTTGGGAGCATTGAGGAACTTTTCACAGGACAGAGGGGTAAGAATGTGCTAGAAGGGAAAGGTTTTTCAGGAAAAGGTAATAGCAGAAACAAAAAACAGAGAGAAATGAAAGAAGACGGCCCCTTTGTGGAATAGGAGTTGTGGGGTATTGGAGGAATCACCAGAAATGAGAATGGAAAAGTGGGTTGGGGGATCCTCTTGGGAAATTATGTCATACCAAAGAATTTGAATGCTATCGTATGGGATAAGGATACGGGATATCGATCTATGGATATGGGATAAGGTTATGGGATATGGGAATCTGGTGTGATATTGAGGCATAAGGTTGCAACATGCTCAGATCTGTATTTAAGACAGACATCTTTGCCAGCAATGTGGAGGCTGACCTGGAGGGAGAAGGAGCTATTGGTTAAAGATAGAGCAGTGATAGCCCAGAAGATGCCATGAAGGCATGAAGTAAAACAGGAGCACTCATTTATGGTTTATGTCAAGATGTAGAAAGCAATGCACTGATAACAAGATAGAAGAGGTACTAAGGACTATGTTCTGGAAACACACTTTTCTTAGGGCCTGTGGGATGACAGGACAGGAGGTCACGGGGGGAGCCACTGGGCATGAGTCTCATATTCACTCAGCTCCAGAAAGTGTGCGTTATGTACACATGATATTTTGTGTGGAGAACAGAAACATACTGACAGGATCAAAGAAGCAAATGTCTCTCTGACAACATCAGCCTATGTCTCATTACTGGAAGACACCACTGTATGCTATTAATGCATATTTCTAAAATACTTTAACTGCCTTATGATAGCATTATTACACTATATAATGTGGTATATCAAAAATGCATGCACTTATTAACAAGTAATTAAAACACACCACAGTTTACATGGTGTGTTTTGACACTTCTTAAATTTTTAACACCAAGAACCTCAAAAAAATGTAAGTAGCCTAAGGTTCTGAGACACCCTCACTATAGTATGAAGCCAGCACCCTTATCAGTAAAGCTCATGGGTATCAAACCCCCCAGTTATAGCTTTCTCTAAGAGAATTTTTGTACCCTGAGCTACTTACTCTCTTCCCCTGCCAGCTCCCAGCTGTTTTTCTATCTAGCAACCTCATGTGTTCTCCATCACTCTTTATACTCGAAACAGTCCTGCATCAGGGCATCTCTCTCTGACCATTCTCAATTGCTTCCAGTAATGGTCATACTTGAGCTGATTTTTGTGAGGTCTCAGGGTCTGTACATCTGCCTTTTCAAATAGGGATACATGTGTACATGTGCCTGTGAGGGCCTTTCCATAATTAGTAATTTTCACAAACAGTCACAAAGAGTCCCAATTCATTAGGCTCAAAGGCCCATTAGGAGTAGACACGCTATTGCTTATAGCCTTCCTTAATTCTTTCCTCCAATCTGCTCCACGACCAGTTCTAAATGTCATCTTATTCCACAAGGCCTATAGAATTAATCCGGATTCACCATCCAAGCTTCACACTCTTTCTTGAACCCCCAATACCATTCTAGTTTTATTTTCCACTCACTGTGTTTTCTCTTACATCGCTGACTTAGATAGATTTTCAGATAGGTTCAGTGGTAAATAATAAATGCCTAATTCAAACTAGCTTCAACAACAACAACCAAATGATAATTTACTGGCTCAAATAACTTGAGAACATATCAAGGTGGGATTGGGTCTAGTGCAGCCTAATACTAAGGTTCAAATAATGTTTGTGGGGGTGGGAGCTGCTCTGTCTCTAACTATTGTTATTTATTGTCCTACTGAAGATAGACTACTTTACCCTTAGCAAGAAAGGTTGGTCTCTGGAAGCTCCAAGTTTATATCATTACAGCATAGTATTTCCAGAAGATAGAGTGCCTTCCTTCCCCCCTCCCCCCCTCCCTACCCCCCACCATGTATCCTTCCTATAAAAAGACCCCGAGACTCTGAGTAATCCAGCTTGGAATCTCATACACAGCCTCACCTGTGAGCATGAGGTTCTTGGTCCAGGATGACCAGAAATGGAATTAGCACAGTGAGTAGGAGAAAGCTTCCTGAACAGGCAATATCTGACCACTACAATGGCATCAAGAATCACTTGAATTGCTTTCTTTTTTCTTTCTTTTAATTTTTTTAAATGTTTATTTATTTTTGAGAGAGAGTGTGTATGTGAGTGAGCAGGGTTCAGGCAGAGAGGCAGAGAGACAGAGACAGAGAATCTGAGGCAGGCTCCTTGCTGTCAGCATAAAGCCTGATGTGGGGTTTAAACCCAAGAACTGTGAGCTTATGACCTGAGCCAAAGTCAAATGCTCAACTGACTGAGCCACCCAGGTGCCTCTCACTTGAATTGCCTTCTAAGAATACAGATTTCCTGTCCTTTTGAGACCTACCCACTTAAAATCTTTCCAGGCAAGGCTGATATTTACTACCTCCTGAACCATAGCAATAGTCAGGGCCCTCTCTCTGAAAGGCCCTTTTTTAATCTCTCTCTTTTAGCCACCCCTCAATTCCTATGCAAACTTCAAGTCCTGTCTCAAATCCCATATCCTGTATGAGGACCTCCTAGATTCCCAAAAGTAACGTGAGAATAACAGTTACTTTCTCTGACCTGATCAAGAACGACTTTAAGCAGGAGGTGAGGTCTAGTTGGGTGTTGAATGATGAGCAGGGTTTTGATGATTATGGGGAATGAGGAGAGGCCTTTTCCAGTCAAATAAAAAGACATAAGCAAAAGCTACAGAGACTTTAAGGTGCAACCATTATTTGGCACAGGATGAATAAATAGCTGAAACAGAAGAGTCATGTAATGAAGCAGTAAAAGCTGAATAGTCAGTTTGGCAGCCAGAGGGTGGAATGACTTGAAAGTCAAAGTAAGAATTTTTCATTTTGTGTAGAATTCCAGAGCTTTCGAACATACTGAGCTCTTTTCACATGGGACAGCCAAGTGGGACCTACCACAGGGGAAGCCTCTCCTGCTACAACACCCTTGTGAGTTTACCCCAGTTGTCAGTAAAATTTCCTGTGCTTGCCAGGGTGGGGAGAAGGGTGTGAAGTACTGAATTAAGCGGAGAGGAGCCACTAAAGAATTTTGAAGACAGAATTAACATGATGAGAACAATGTTTTAGGAAAATCAGCTCAAAATCAATGCAGCTCAAATTGCAAATGCTTCTGTGAGTACCCATTTAATTCCTTTACTGACAACATCACTTTCTTTTTTTTTTTCTTAAATAGTTTATTGTCAAGTTGGTTTCCATATA